TGACGAGGGTTAGCATATTTCATTATAAACTCATCTATAGTTTTATCTACTCGATTACGACATCCAGGGATGAATGATCTTGCCACATTGAATATTCCTATTTGCAGTGGTTCATTTGGACATGGGTGACTTTCGTCAGCATTAGCCATAAAAACAAAGAAAAATGTATGATATATAGCATAGTTCTGACCATCTATGAAAATATACAGTATCAAGTAAAGACAGTGGCAACATGAGATGGAATCATTTTTCTTCACTGTCTGTATGAGGTTCAATAATTATCATATGACAGTTAATTACTCTATTGTTAATTACTCTAACAGATCATTCAGTGACCTAAACAATGAGAACATTAAAATGTACCATTCAGCTCATTATAAGTTATCTTAAAATGTACACACACTAGATGAAAAGGGCCAATCTTGATAATTTGAGGTTTGTATATTGTTTGACTAATCCCGATCAAAGGATATGCTTTCATACAGACACAAAGATCAACTGTCGTAATATTATGTTTTAAACTTTCTGAATATCGAAAACACTTGTACTGTCGTGTAGGAAGTGACTGGGTGGTTGATGGCTTCAATGAACTAAGCTTGTTAGCTACTAGTGAAATAAACCCAGCTTGGGGCTTATTTCCTAGTACTGCTAGTCATTGGTCTCGTGAACATCAATATTACATCTGTTTGCTCATGGCTTCCGAATACTTCTTTTTCCAGGACAGCTCCAATGCACAACATTATGACTTGGTCTTATACATTGTGAGCAAAACAATCTGGTAGCCTTCCTACAGCTTGTACCTTCTCATTTTTGGAAACTGACAATGTTTCTGTAACACTTCCACCAACAGTTTGTCCAAGCACAGGCAAAACCTCTTGTATCATGGTTGCAGGTGATGTACAAATAGACCTTGCTCCAGCCAAACAGTTTACTAACTGATCAAAACTGTCTGTCAGAATGAAGCACTGTTGGAATACTTGTATTTTCAAATAATCTGATATGACAGGAAAAGAGCGACTTTCGGAATGTCCCAGTCTGTTGATAATTGTGGTCAGCTCTGCACTTCTAGACAAGTGCCTCAATGTATAGTACATGACAAAATGCTACAGAAAATTACATTTGCCATTTGTAGCTACACAGCATATATCCTGATCAATGGATTGCAATACTCTGCTCACCTTTGGATAGTTCTTAGTTTCAGTTCTCAAGATTGCCACGGATAAAAACATATTCAGGTGTGATGGAGTAGCAACTACCATGCTTTACGATATATGTGAAGTTGAAGGCTATGGTAAAACACTTGTTTTTGCTAAAGGATTCAAGAACTGAATTTCCCCCAAAAAATGGCGGATTCTTTTACCAGGTCCACTGTAGCAAATTGCAATGACCTCATAACAGCTCATCCAACATCAATTTGTGAACTATTTACCAGATACGTAATAAATGTTCTTCTGTTGTCTAGTAAAGTGAATGACATTTTATACCTGTGTAGGATTTTTTTTTTTATTTGCTTTTTAAGTTTCTCGTCCGTTTGGCAAGGCCGAGTTTTCTAACTTGGTGATATTTATCTAACAGAAATCATTTAGCGTCAAAACATTTATCAACAACTTGACGAGCATTGCAGAGTGTTTCATAAGTTATAAGTGTCTTCCTCTTTCTTTCTTTCTCATTATCACTTCTCCAACTCGTTGGTTCCCGAATGTATTCTGTCTGACAGTTGTTACTACATTGTGTTTCACCTTTTTCCTCAGCAGCTTCTGAAATTCTACCAAACTCAATTTTTTTAATATATATTGCAAAAGATGTAATCTTTGTGGAGAAAATGCTCTTTCAGCTGGTTTCCTTCGTGATGATGATGATGATGAATGAAGTAACACTGTGATATCCTCCGATGTGCTAGGCTGTAGATGATATAAATCCTTTCCAGGATTTTGGTAACGGTGCCTATAATAGCAAAGTTTTTCTGTTCTCAAAAGTCAAATGTTGACAAGCATTTTGCTTTCTGTGAGTAAAGGTTTAAGGCTGAGCTAGTCTTAGGGTTTTTGGTTTCTTTCATGTCTTTCAAATCTCATTCCTGGGCCCATTCTATCAGGTTTAAGGCTGAGCTAGTCTTAGGGTTTTTGGTTTCTTTCATGTCTTTCAAATCTCATTCCTGGG